ATGAGTTTAAATCTCAGATTGACGTGGCGCTGTCACAGGACTCTACTTACCAGGGTGAACGTGCATATCAACATGGTGGAGTGACGGGACTGTCACAGTATTAGAGTGTAAGGCACCTGAGGGTCACTCCTCTGCTTCTTTCTCCCCGATTTAAGTTCATGAACACAGTGTTTGTCTTAAGAGCGACATCCCTAATGCCAGTGTCGTTTTGCTTTCTTGCTTTCAGGTTGAGGAAGAAGAGCTAAGCTTGTGTGGAGCTTAGTTCATCAGCATTTTATTCTGGGTAATAAAAAAAATAAAATAAAATGGATACCTGTTTTCCACTGCTAAAACTGAAGCACCACTGTGTGAGAGCAACAGGAGAAAGAAACCAACCAACGGAGAGGAGAGAGAGAAAGGAGCGCGCGCGAGAGAGCCCACTGCTAGCTCACTGAGACAAGGAGACTGACCGGAGAGGAGAGAGAGCACCGAAGGACTGGCTGGCGCCTCACTGGGAAGGCAACTCACCCTGAAATGAGTGGTCAGCTGAGTCCCTGCTCCCCCAGTCAAACAAGCTCGAGAGAAGGGCCTTAAGCAGGTTTCACTTCATTCCATACTTCTCTTTGCGAGCAGGGCATTACTTTTCAGAGCAGATGGGGAGAGGAAAACCCTCATCTCAGAGTTGTTCTCGTTTTAAAGGGGTACTATATTTTAGCAGTAACTGTTTACATTTTAGAAGCAGAGTATCTGAGAGAGAGAGTTCCTGACTAAGTGACAGCGAGCCAAGCAGAAATGCAGCGGAACATAGCTGATGCTCAACTCTGAGATGCAGGTTTTGTTGTCCAACACTGGCTCTGAAATCCTAGTGTCATCGTGTCGCCCACATTCTGAACGGGTCTTTTGTGACAGGGTGGTTTTAAAGAGATTCTTTCAAAGGAGCACTGAATTTTTAGAAGTTTGTCTCTGAATTCTTAGTGGTGGACCTGGGAGATCCTTGTTCTGAGAAGCTTACAAAAAGTTTAAAACAAAACTAAATTAGAGCACCAACCTTGAGAACTTTCAGTGTGATTAAAAGTTGCAGCAATCAGCCTCTTCTTCCTACATTGGATAGCAGTTAGAGTGAAAGGAGCCTGCGCGCTCGAGCAGGAGGAGGGTTTCAAAGTGTTTTCTGTATGCTTTAATTGGCTACTGTCTGGACTCTACTCTGTGAAAAACAAGCCTTTCTGTAAGATGAACTTTGCGCTTGAAAGGGGATGGGTTCCTGAGCCCTTCGGCCCTGGAGGAAAAGATGCTAACAGGCCTGCTTTACTCACTCCCGCAGATCTGGGGAAGAAGTAGTGGAAACTGGGGATTATATTGGTTTTGAAGTAAAGACTCTACAATGTTACCGAAGCAGGTTGGAAAAATGGACAAAGCAGGCAGTTGTTGGAAGGTGGCCTCTGATAGCTGGGTATAATTAGAGATAATGGGTTAGGCTTTTGTGTGGCTTCTTCGGTGATTAATGCAGATAGCTGAAAGATTCAGGTGTTGAAAACCAAACCCGGAGCCTATTTTTCAGGTAGTGGACGCGGCTGTGCCATCAATGCTGGCTTGAGAAATAGCTGGAAGTCAAAACTGAAAACAGCACATAAGAGAAGCCATCCAATTTCTAAGTTGTACCCATGTCTTAAATAAGTCATATGGGAACACTGGGAGCATTTTATTTCTGTCTAAACCTTTTTAGAAACAGCGCAGAGAATTTAAAATTCCTACAGACCCATTTTTATCAGATCCCTAAATTAGACTGACCTCTACCTCCTAATTGGCGAAGATCAGTAGAGTGTGATTCACTAACCTAGGCGTTTTTAAAGTTTGAATTAAGTTAGCTTTATACTCAAAGGGCTCCAAGTGTTTCTAGTCTTTTTTTTGGGGGGGAACTCAAAATACCTCTCATATGAATGTACTTAAATGACGTAAAACCCACTTTTTGTAACTGGGGGGAAAGCCCTTTCATTACTGTCCTTTCTGTAGATTGTTGACCCGCTTTCATAACCTGTATTTGCTGTAGTTTTTCAAGAGTGTCTCTCCCCCAGTGCAGACCTGGTGTAGCGTACCCACGAACCGTGAGTAGCGTGCACAGAAACATGGAACAGGTGTTCAAAATTTTCGTTCAGTCCTGCAGCGAACGTAGTTCGAGAACTGCAAAAGAAACTTTCCAGAAATGATAAACCATTCTTTTCTCATAAAAAGCCTCCAGAGTTTAGACTTCTAAAATGTGAAAGAATGGAGACACAGGCCACCTTCCTTCCTTGTAAGATGGACTGTTTTATTTATTAACATTGCCGAAGGGCTTTTTAATTTTTTTCCTTCTGTAGGCTGCGTAGTTGCATAGACTTTTCCGATAGGTTTAAGCTGTAACCCTCTGTGCAATGCAATCCATTGAGTAATGTAACCCCCTCCTCTCCCCTCGCCCCCTTTATTTCACTGATGGGAATGCTTGCCTCTGCTTTGTGCTGGTTTTTTCCTTTGTAGCAGTTACTCTGAGTTTTATAAATCCAGACATCAGTGCTAGCACGGTGTTACTCTTTTTTGATTTTGTCTCAGTTTGTTTTAAACCTGTTTGTCATCAATAAAATATTAATAAACAGCTCTTGCATTCAAGGTGGCCCCTAACTTTCAATGATGAAACCATGCAACATTCATTAAAACTTAGTCTGATTGTATAAACTTCCAAGTTTATTATTACCTTTTTTAAACACAGACTAGTACAAAAGTGGGGGGGGTGTGCATAGCGTACATGGGGAAGCAAATGAACGGTGAAAACTCTTGTTAAATGCCCTTCCCCTCTCCCCTCCTCTGGCTCAAACGGGGCTGTTCTGAGCCCCGTGGTGGTGCCTGTGCGTGGGGTGCAGGGGGGAGCTGCAGGAGTTACGGAAGGCTGGTTCTAGAGGTGACCGATCCAACCTGGAAGATCTCCTCCCTCCTGCTTCCCCTGAACCCAAAAAATGGCGTTTACCTGTGTTACAGGTGGGCACCCAGCAAAGCTTGGCCTGGCTGCCCCAGGGCTGGCTCAGCGTCTGCTGCAGCGCAGCTCTGGTGTCACTGCTGTCACCCACCTCCTGCCAACGCTCCCCAGACTCCGAGCGCTTGGGTGGGGTGATGGAGGGGGACAGTTGCCCTCCGTCACGTTGGAGAACCAGGTAAGCGGTCTGCGGTACCCACTCCATGGGACATGGGCTGAGCCCTTCAGGCCCTTGGTCTGCCACAGCACCAGGACAAAAAAACCAAATACTTAAAGGTTTTTCTTAACACTTAATTTGACAGAAATGGCTCCTGCTTGCTTTAGTGAAGTCCTACTCTAAGCCCTTAAAACATTTAGGTGCTTGAAATGGGTTTCAGCATAGCTCTTGTTCATCTGCTGGAGTAAAGCCGGGCTGCCCTGCCCTGAAGCTGTCAAGAAACACATTTGGGTGTGAAAACATTAGTGCGGTACCCTGCTAAAATACTCGAGCTGCTCCGGTCTCGGTCTTCAGCTCCACAGTTCAGTGGTGTTAGCAAAAGCGCTGTCCCGGAGGGACAGGAGGATGGTTCCTCTGCAGTGGTTAAACCTTTAGTGCTTCCCTTGAGGGAGAAGGTCCTGTTTAGCCTGGTAATACTTCATCAGACCTCGGAGACAATACAACAGCGGTACAAAAACCAACAAAAAATAGTATCTATGCTATGTTGTCAGGTTCACATTTAAAAAAAACAAAACAAAAAACACAAAAAATTCAAGTCTAACTCAGATTCATCTTCTGTTCCCCTCCCCTTGCCCCCCAAAAATGGCAGAGCCACAGGTGGGTCAGGAACAGGACACGGGGAAGAGCTGAGCAGCTTCACCCAGGCTTTAAACTGCGGCACAGCCCGTGCCCGGAGAGGCGGCAGAACAGCGGCAATTCCTCCGGCAGCGGCTCAGCCGAGAGGGTGCAGAGCTCAGTCTGCCCCACACCACCACACCACTGCTGCCCGTTAGTGGCATCAAACCTCCTCGGTAAGAGCACGGCCGCGCTACTGCACTGCGCTGGGTACCGCAGCCAACAACAACAAAACCAAAAACACAAATGAAAACAAAGAAAATAAGCCTAAAACGTACAACCATGTGAACGCGGTGCCTGCCAGCCCAGGGCTGTGCCGCTGCCGTCGCCTGATGCTCGGCTGCCATCTGGCTCCGGCCGCGGGTCAGGCTGGTCCTGCCACCACCAGGGAGCAGAGGGGGGACCCTGCTCTCACCAATTTGCAAATGAGGTAAATTAAATACTGATTCAGCGCGGGCTGGGAGGGAACACGACGTCACCAACTCCATTGCATCACCTCCTGCATCGGGGCACCGCATCCCCCCGCTTTACGCTCTTGTTCCTCAGCCAAAACCTCTCTCAAGCAGCAAACCCCCTGTGGCTCCCAGGGGCTGCATTTGCCCCCTCCCAGTGCCTCCCACCCACCTCCACCCCCTGCCCCAAACCACCCCATAAAAACCAGTTCAGCTCAAATCTCAGTACAGGTCCAAATCTTCTCAGTTCCTCGGTAATATTAAAGTTCTCATTGCTCTACCCTTCTAGTAGCTTAAAAAAAAAAAAAAAGGCAATTTCTTTTTTTGCACTAAGAAAGCCACAACTTTTAGCCAAAAAGCTGAAAAAGCACAAGCCCAGCGGGTGCTTCGCTGGCACCGGCAGCAGTTCGGCTGAGCAGAGGAGGGGTCTGGGATTCACAGCCTGGTGCCACCGTCACCCGTGGAGAACGGACAAGACAACCAGCACCAGACCCGATCATAATCCCGTACTGGGCTGCGGCAGCCAGCTGAGCATCCAACTCCTGCTCAATCACCGCTGCGCTAACGCCCCCGTGGTGCCAACCCTCCTCCCCGGCTGCACCTCCGCCACTCCACGCACCAACGGGAAACTCCCTGACCACTGGCACAGCGGGGATTAAACACACTTGGATTTATTCCATCAACATCTCAGACAGGACCCCCCCAGCACACACACACACACCCCCCACTCGCTCCCCTATCTGCAGCCACACTCATCCACCACCATGTCCTCGTAGTGCCTCAGCACCACGTTGTCGTTGTTATCGTAGTAGAGGATGGAGATGGGGGAGAGCCTGACGGGGACGCAGCAGGGCTGGGGGGTCCCCTCCGGGTCCAGCGAGTGCACCATGGTTTGGAGGATGGCGTGGTTGGTGCTGTTGAGCTCGGCCGTCAGGGGAAAGGGACACTCGCCCAGGCAGTAATTAGCCATGTAGCCCTGCGGGGCGATGATCCAGTTCTCCCAGCCGACGTCGCTGAAGCTGATGTAAAGCCGCCGGGGCTTGCAGAGGTTGCTTGGCGTCATGGGGACGTAGTGAGCACTTCTCTTCCTCCTGGAAGCCTTACACTGCTGCTGGCTGAGGGTCACCACCAGCAGAGAGGTGTCCAAGAAGGCGTCGATGCTGGCGCAGAGGTCCTGCCGCCCTCCCCTCGCCAGGGCTGACGTGCCGCCTCCGCT